GTGCATTCAAATTTGTTTTGCATAATAATGAGCTATACTGAAGATCTACAAGAGACTTGTTGCTTAAGTGCTTGGGTTTTGATTAAGGAAAGTTGGCTATGGGAGAAGTCCATAAAGGCATATGTGGTATACATCAATAGGCTTTGAAGATGAAGTGGTTACTACGCCGATTGGTTTCATTTGACCTACTATGCTTGTTGATTGTTTCCGCTACATACTACAAGCGATATTGAGAGGAGTGTCAGCGGTTTGATAATATTCAGCTGGTACATATTGTAGTGATGCCTCCTATTATCAAGCCGTAGTCATTCTCATGTCGGGGGCTATATGGGCTATATTTCATTGTCCAAATTCTTTCCCTATCATTGAAGGGACATAGTTTTATGTTGTTTGCCACAGATTGTTTCACAAAGTGGACTGAGACTGTTCCTTTGAAGAATATGACACACATGCAGGTAATTACATATTGTTCATAGATGCATCACTCAAAAAATAAATACGGATCATGGGACATCTTTTGTATCGAAAGAGCTAAGGAATTTTCCTGAATTATATAAGATCAAGTTGCTCAATTCATCTTCATACTATTCTCAAGCTAATTAATGACCAAGTTGAGTCAAATAATAAGACTTTGACCAAGCTTATTAAGAAGAAAATTAAGGGCAATCCCGGGAGATGACATGAAGTTTTGTTTGAAGCCCTGTGGGCTCATCACATATTTAGACATGGTGCTATCAAAGTTACTCCTTTTTAGCTAATATATGGACAAGAAGTTGTGTTGCCCTTTGAAGCTAATTCGGATACATATAGGTTGGCTAAGAAAAAATGATATGTCTGTTGTTATGTATCATGATCTAATGATGGATAATATTGACTAGGTAACCGACAAAAGAATCAAGGTTCTGAATGATATTGAGCGAGACAAAGCTCGAGTTGTCCGGTTCTATAAGAAAAAGGTAAAAGCAAGTCTTTCCAAGTTGTGGAGTAAGTGCGGAAAACTATTCTACCACTTGGGATGAAATGCAACAAGTTTGGCAAGTGGTCTCCAAGATGGAAAGGTCTATATAAGGTGATCGTCTCTCAAGAGAAAGTAATGGAAGATACCCGAAAAAAATATTTCACGCAAAAAGTCCCAAAATGGCTCCTATTATTAGTGGAGGATATCAATATAGAGCCTTTGTGTAGTAGTGTTATCTATACTACGGTTTACTAAGTTGACTGACTTGGGTCATATGGGCTTGTCCCAATTAACAGAGTCGGGCCTGCTAAGAGGACCGCCCCAAAAATGGCTCCTATTATTAGTGGCGGATATCTTAAAGCCTGCCTATGTTAATACATTTTAGGAGGTGATTATTTATCAAAGTGTCTCCGTAAGTGAAGATACCACCTCTAAAGTTCACTGCCCAAAATCATCTTTGTAGGAGGAGACAATATTATTTTTGTCGTCCGCCTCTGTAAATAAAAAGGCTAGTGTCCCAAAATCATCTTTGTAGTAGTGTAATAATAAGATATTCTATATTTTTTCTTATAAATATCTAGAATATAGTCAAATAGAAAACAGCAATAAAAGAAGGATTTAACTACATCCATCTTAGTATGCATATAAGAAATAGATGCACACATATTTTTTGGATAAAGGAAGCATTATTTTTTTTAAGAGCAATACATAGAGTTGATACAAAGCTTTGAAAAACTACTTCTGGCCTCTGCTTTTGAAGCACACAACCACGAACGAGAGAAAAAATCACACACACTCTAGTGACTATCAATTTGAAGACTAGAACGCCACCCATGTGCTCATGAGAAGATTGCCTTAGCCAATTGTGCCATTGCTGTGAAGCCGCCACAACCAAATCCTGTGAATCCAGCCTTTGGAGGATAGCCCATGTACAAAGCCAATGGATAACCAGGAAAATGACCTGCAAAGGAGAAGAGTGTTTTTCCTTTTCAAAAACTAAGTCATTACTGCATAACCAAAGTGACCAACAGATGGCTGCTGCTCCTAACAGGACTAAAGGCTTCAAAGTTTTACTAAATCATCCTAACCAAATGCCAAACATGTGACACATATGGATATCCATTCTCCAGTTTTATGGGATAAGTGACGAGAGTCTAACATATGGGTATGCTAAGTTCCCGAGAAGGAGATAATGAATTGACTAACCCCCCGACTGACTCTATGAATTGCTCGGGGGTTATACCCATTGGGTACGCTCGCACGTACCCTCCGTCAGAACAAGGATGGCTAGGCGGCCTATAGGCCAACCTCATCCATGGAGCCTTGCAGTGCTAGGAGGATGAGCCTGAGCAAGCTAGCGGCTGTCGCTCGGGGCTCGAGGGCTCGGTCATAGCGTCAGGGATCCCAACCACCGGGAGACCAAGCTAGGCCTCCTCCTAGGCGACCACCTGTGCCTTCACTTGGGGGCCAACCGATGTCCTAATGCAAGACTTGGGGCCAGCTAAGGAATCTATCAGGCGCCTAGATCCTGACAGGCATAGAGGCATTGCACCGTCTACCCATTCTAGAATCGTGAGACCCTATCAAACACTCCCTCGGCAGGGTCACGCAATAGGCATGACGCATCAGGACAAGGAACTCCCCAAACCCTAGAGGGAGAGGCTCCTTGCGCACCAAGGAGCCTCGAGTAGGCTCACCTGGAGAACCACACATCAACCTCCGACAAACAAACTCGCTGCTTGCTGCGGTTTCCAACCTACAAGAGCTGGCGTGCTAGGAAGGGGAGCACATCATGTGTGATCGCCGTTCTGCGGTGGTCAGAACTACTAGATTCTCCGCCGAAGGCGCGACCCCCAAGGGTAACGTCCACTTCTCTGGCGATATCGTCACCGCCGGCGGCTCCTCTGCTCCTGGCCAAGCTCTCATCTTTGTGATCCTGGACTATCACTAACCATGCCATCGAACTCTACCTTCTTGAGCAGACTTCATCAAGGGATGGCGAGTCCTAGGCGTCGCACCCTCCGTTGGGCCTCTTGGGAGCCGACTTAGACGTGCTGGACTGATAGATCTGCCTTGGTCTAGGCCTAAACCCCACCATGTCAAAGCACCATCGAATGTTTTACATGCTGCCGAGTGTCCATCACCAGATCGCCACCAGAGAGGAGCTACTACCACCCCACCACTTTTGGTACATCCTTTGGGATCTCCCATGTGGGATCTAGAATGCCACGGCGTCATTCCATCTCTAAATAGAGCACCTCGTAAGCCGGGAGGCCCCACATGGTGTCATCCTCTCGGGCGTAGCAAGAGCCGACGTCCTTTCACCACACAACTTTCTAGAGATACTTTCGGGGCTTGGGCCGAACTATGGCTCTGAGGAACCAACAGCTAATCCCTAGCGGGCAAATGCTTCTTCATCAACGGGGAGCAGGCCACTATCAACGCCCCTGAGCACACGCCTTCAGACTTGAGTCTGACAAGCAGCGTCGCTTACCTCAAGGAGAAGGTTGAGCGCCTCTGGGTGTGACAGGACAACCTAGAGGTTGATCGCGTTGAGTTCGAGAGGAGGATGGAGGAGCTCGTGCACCAGCAAACCATCCAGTGGGAGAACGACAATCGCACGGGGTCTCCCGACATGTTGGGCTTCCCCCGGGTGGTATACAACATGGTGGCCACAACTTGCCGTCTGGACGACATCCCCAACATGCCAAACCCGAGGACCAACAAGAAGCTTTAGGAGGCCTGACATCTTTTGCAAATCACCCTCGAGCAACAGGCGGAGAGCTCAGCGTCCCATCGCCGCAACGCCACATCAAGGTTGTCCCAGCTGGCGCTGGCCTTTGAGGGACGCTCCGACGCTCATGCCCCACTAGGGAGCCACAATGACGGGGACACCTCCACCGATAGCTCCGACCGTCCAAGGACGAGGGGGCCAAACCATGGTAGGAACACTGGGCCGAATCCGGCTCGTGCTGACCTCGTGCAAATGACCGGATCGGGGAGGATCGGGATGTGCGCGACACCGGGCGAGGGGAGGCGGTCCATTTTCAGGAGCGACTCTTTTAAGCCAACAACCCCTAAAAATGCTTTACCTAGGATAATTATGCTATGTCAGTTGTTCCCTTTAATTATGCTAAGATTACCGGCCTCGAAAATACATTTCCACGAGAGGTCGACTTAAGCAATCACTTCTGAAAATGGATTTCTAGGGATAGTTGCTTTAATGAAACTTTCCCTAGAAATAAGCTTGTTGGTGCGGTTAGTTGCCAAATGCCCAACACTACAAGCGCCATATCATTACAATCGATAACATATTATTGAATTTTAGGAACCGTCTCTGAAAACCGTTTTTAACCGTTAGTAAAAATTATTTTCCATAGTAGTGGAGACTGCCGTGTCTCAAAAAGCAAATCCACGGATGGTTTGTGGCTACGTGAAAAAAATCCACTCCTCTCGAATTACATTTTGATGGGATGTTACATTTTCAAGGACGATTGGTTTAACCATCTGGACTTGTAAATTTTTTGGGGTGATTTTTCTTATAACAACCATCTCTAGAAATGTACTTTAGGGGTGTTGGAAGTCCATCTCTACAAAAGCCACATCATTACAGTCGATTTCCGAAATCCGTCCTGAAAACCGCTTTTTAAACATTGCTGAAAATCGTGATTTCCGCAGTAAGTGACCATCAATATTTTTTTAGATCAAAGGCCAAGCCCGATTTTATTAGAAAGCTTAAAGGTGAACCGCCAATTCAACACTGAGTACGTAAACATCTAAAGACTCTAAGATAACGAGAACGACCATCAATATTTTATGTTTCATTCATGCTCTATACAAATTATGCAAAGGGGGAAATGATACATAAAACATGGACAGATGCACAACGCAATCACCACGCGTTATCTGCAAATGATGTGTTCGCGTGGCCTTAACAAACTCGCCATTGTAAACATGCCACCACCGCTGATAGCTTATTATGCAAACAATCCAGGAAGCAAATACTATAAGTGTGACATGCATGAGGCTTAAATAAATTAAACTAACAGCATGGGATAACCAAGGCACGGAGGGGCCGTCGCATCACCGTGGTTAGCTCCAGCCTCTCGCCAAATTCCACCGGCTCTCCGGGCACCTCCCTCCACTCGAAGTCCTTCACCAGATTGGCCACGAAGAACTCGAGGTGGAGTAGCGACACGTCAATGCCAGGGCAGATCCTCCGCCCGGCGCCGAACGGCATCATCTTGATCTCCTTGCTCCCGGTCAGGTCCACGTCCTCACCCTCGCCTCCGGGAAGGAATCGCTCCGGGCGGAACTGCTTCGGGTCTCGCCACACAGCCTCGTCCATCGCCATGCCGCCCAGCATGAAGTTCACCAACGCATGCCTTGGCACGCTGAAGCCGTCGAGCAACGCGCCGCCACCCTCGGTCGCCGCGCGTGGCAGCGTGAAGCGACTGGGCGGGTGCCGCCGGAGCCCCTCCAGTACGACGGCCCGGAGGTAGGGCATGCGCGGCAGGTGCTCGTCCTGGATGCGTGCCTCCGCGCCGACCACGTGGCGTATCTCAGCGCGGAGCTTCGCCTGGATCTCCGGTTGCGCAACGAGGTTTGCCATGGTCCATTGCAGCGCCGTGACCGTCGAGTCGGGTCCCCCGGACAAGAACTCGGAGCACAGGCTCACCATCTCGCTCTCCGTCAGGTTTCTGCCGCCGTCCTCAGGGATACGGAGGCCGAGGAGTGAGTCGACGTAGCAATCCACAGCGAAGTTGTCACCGCTGGCGTCGCGTCGTGCCTGGCGTGCACGTATCAGAGGGATGAACACCTCCTCCTGCCGCCGCCGCAAGGACAGCATCTTCTTCCACCGGTGCCGGAACACGAGCTTGGTGAGCGGCGGGCACACACCTAGCACCTGAAAGCCGACCACCGCCGACAAGAACTCCCTCTGCAGCGCCGTGATGGACGCTACCACGCCATCACCGTGTCCCTCGCCGAAACACATCCTGGCAAAAACATGGAAAATGGCGTGGTGCAGCAGTCCTTGGATAACGACTACTGCCCTGCCACCCCCTGCTTCATTGTGCATTTGCTGTGTGATGCCGGCAGTGAGGCCGGAAACGGCGGCTCTGCGAGCTGCAGCATACCGGCGGAGGGACGATGGGTGGAGGGCTTTGCCGCTGAGGTTACGCCGGAGCACGCGCCAGAGGGGTCCATATGTACCGGTGGTAATGCTGCGCTGATCACCGTTAAATATCCGGGTGGCAAGGTTAACCGGTGGCCGGTCAGCGAACGCTGCGCCGCACTGCACCAGGACACGGCGTGCCGTGGCTCCATCGGCGACAAAGATCACTGGGAAAGAAGGGAGGAGATAGATAGTGAAGACGGGGCCGTACCAGGACCGGGCAAGGCGGATAATTGGCTCAATGTTGAAGGTTGTCCAAGCTAGCAAGAGGAGAGGGCCAAGTAGCAGCGACAGCGCCGTTGGTCCCGGTGGAAGGGAAGGCTTGGCCGCCGGCTTTCCGGTGGCTGGCCGGATGGAGGAGAGAAGGAAGGACAGGGCAATGCAAATGGTCATGGAGAGCGAATAGTAGACCCAGTCCTCCATGACGGATGAACGTAGTGACTAATGAGACGTACGCTCTAGCTTCAAGCTAGTGTGTGCCATCTTTTATACTGTGCGGCCTGCTGCAAGGTAGCATGTACTAGCAATTTGTAACTGTTAATTACTGAACCCCTGGCGTTAATTACCGAGTGTTCACAGGTCCCCAGGTCCGGGAGTTAAAATAGTCCGCGCGTGTTCCAGGCTGACAGAGATGACAGAGACGACTGACAGGCTGATAGCTACTCCTACATCCTACAGGGATCCGGCCGGCATCCAGGACAAAGTGCTGCCTCAAAAGGCCTGGCCGTCGTCAGCGCAGGATCAAGCTCACAGTACATAAAAGAGGTGATGCCCAATTGCCCACGCCCTGCGTGGAACACGCGCGGACTATTTTAACTCAAACTCGCCGTCGCCGGTAGCAGGTCTCTGGCGGCGTATTTTAACTCCCGGACCTGGGGGCGGAGAAGGTCTCTGGCGGCGAGATGCGAATCGCCTGGGGCGGCGCAGGTCTCTTAGGGTGAATTTGCACAGGAGGGGACTGGGGGTTTTTGGAAAAAAAGCCGACAGATGGGAGGCCTTAAGCGCAAAATCGTGCCGCCTCTCACCTCATCCATTGGATCGACATACAATGTCTCTGATCGGTAGTTTCCAAATTTTCACAAGTTGATTGGTTTGCACCTGATATGTTGCCATGCGAAAAATGCGGAGCGTGCTATGCGCCGACGGGTGGTAGCATGCCACGCGTCTATCCCCTAAACTTTTTTTTTTCCAGTCACGTGACATTGGGCTGTTTCTCACGCACAGCTCCCCCAAATTTTTTAACAGTTGCGCGACATTGGGCCGTTTCTCACGTGCAGCAAGCTGCATTTGAGCCTAGATGCCGATTAGGCCCACGTCCCGCGCAGAGCACGGCTGGCAATTTTCACTTCAACTTGACACGTAGAACGTGGCATGCACGAAATCTAAAATTGGTGACATAAGCATGTATTCTATGCTTTTTGAAGTAAAAAAAAGTCGTAGCTAAACCATGTATCCTAATTAGAATAGGATTGCACCATTGTGTTCCTTGCAATAAACTGTTTAAAACAATACCCCACGATAATTTTTTTAATGAACATTTATTTCATGATGATAAAACAATTATTTATTGAGTACAACGATGTTCTAGGTCCTTAAAATAATGTTCCATCTTTATAAAACAAATGTTCCGTCTTTCAAAGCTAACCGGTGTCTGGTCAGCGAACGCTGCGCCGCGCTGCACCAGGACACGGCGTGCGGTGGCTCCATCACCGACAAATCACTGGGAAAGATGGGACGAGATAGATTGTGAAGACGGAGCCGTACCAGGACCGGGCAAGGCGGATAATCGGCTCAATGTCGAAGGTTGTCCAAGCTAGCAAGAGGAGAGAAGGAAGGACAGGGCAATGCAAATGGTCATGGAGAGGGAATAGTAGACCCAGTGCTCCATGACTAGTGAGACGTATGCTCTAGGTTCAAAGCTAGTGTATGCCATCTTTTATACTGTGCCTGTTACTCCATCCGTCCAGCGAAACATACAATTCTAGCGTAATCTCACGTCTTAGTATCTTAAGTTTAGCCAATTATAAATAAAAAAATATTAATATTTATGATATTAAATAAATATCATTAGATTAATTATGAAATATATTTTTATAATAAATTAATTTAGAGTCATAAATATGAATACTATTTACTAGAAACTTGATCAAACATAAACTACTTTTTCTAACACGTAACCTATATTTGCATATTTTTATAGGAGAGTACTAGTAATTTGTAACTGTTAATTACTGAACCCCAGGCGGATACACCCTTCTCAATTATCGAGGGAGGATTGTTTGCAGGTCTCGACAAAGAAGTAAAGAACACGTCCTAGCTTCATCGGACGTCCCGCTGAACAGTGTTGGCAACTACTAAGACGTCCCGCTGAACAGTGTTGTCAACGACCAAGACGTCCCGCTGAACAGTGTTGGCAACGACCGAAATACGATGCACGGGTGCACCGGTAGAAAAAAGTGCCCCCCTGCGACGCTAAAAAAATAATTGGCATAAGGCTAACCATCCCAGACAAGCCTTCTTCACTGTCAGATTTTAAATCAACAGTGGCATACTGGTAGTGATGGGGCTGACATCACTACCGGTAACTCAAAACCGCCATCGATAAGGAGAGACCACTGTCGATTCCGGCCTCCACCTGGCGGTTTCCAGTTGAGACAATATTGTCGGTTTGTAGCCCAAGCCGACAGTGTTGTCTTGACCAACATTGTCGGTTTGAGGTCCAAGCCGGCAGTGTTGTCTTGACCAACATTGCCGGTGCATGGATCAAACCGGCAGTGTTTGCTTGACCCACACTATCAGTTCAAGACTCGAGCGGGCAGTGTTCCGTTGTCCATCACTAACGGCTTGTGGTTAAAACCGGTAGTGATGTCTTCCACTGCACTGCTGGCTTGTAGCTACAACCGGCAGTGATGTCTTGAGCAACACTGGCGGCTCATGGCTCAATCTGGTGGTGCCCTCTTTATCATCACGGTCGGTTTTGTGCTAACCGGCAGTGATCGCTTTTTCGTATTTTTTTGTTTTATAATTTATTTATTTTGTGGTATCGGATTTCGCTTTATATTTGCTACATAGACGACAGGTACATCAACTTTAAACATTACAAATGTTACGGTTACCGTTTAGATGTACTTATCAAGATCTCGATCCCTCAAAATAAAAAAGAAATTACAATAGTCTAGCGAGCCGCTCGGGCCCGTACAGGTTCTTGAACTTCACAGACTGTGCAATGGAGAATATTCTATTTCTTTCCAATACCTGGGTAGGATGAAGGCTGCTAGCTCCCATGACAGTGCTATGATCTCCATTTGTAACAACCTTTGGTGTTTAAATTTCTTGCGCTGTCATTCAAAAAAGATGATATCAAAAGGCACACATGTAAGAGAAAACAATAGATTGTTTTGTTGAATTAACAGATATAAATAAAATGGGGATTAGACACACCAAAGCATCTGTGGCTTCCGATTTCACGACGAGGTAGCGAAACATTGCCCACATTACGTAGAACCCGCATTTATTGTTTCCACCAGCTGGTTTAGAGTCTCCAATTCCATTGGTGCAACCTAGAATGGGACCTTCATCCCACCGATCATTCTTCCCTAAACACTGTGCCATATTATAAAATGTGAAAAAGGGGCAACATTATTAGAATGGGCTATGTGCGATTAGAAAATAATATGTTATTAGGTTCACTTACTTATTCAGTACTTGGACTAGGGGATCGAGCAAAGAAAGTTTCTTTTTCTTCGAGTCCGACACCTCGATACGATTTTTGCAAATATCGATATAACAATGAAGATAAAATGGTTGTTGCAATCATAAAATCCTAGTTAACAAATAATCTCTACTAAACAAAGACGTATAAAAATAAGAGCAGAGAACACATACTCGCAGTTGTAGGCTAGAAGTATGTGGGTTTTTTATTCATCTTGAATTCCACAAAAATTTTAACCAATGTTGCCATCAGATCTTCCACTTTATTTTCATGCATGCCTCCACATGTTTTCTCGTTGACTAGCTCGGGGTCCAAGAAGGCTATATGAGCATTTTTTCTGTTTAAGCAATATTGTGATACACACCTGCATAAATCATGGGAAGTGTTCAAAAGTTAATTATTTATGTATCGAGAGAGTAGTTAATTATAGTATCGTGCGGGTAGGGTACTTACATACTCCACTGCGTCAATATTTGTGTATCAAGATCGCGTCTCTGGTATAGCTTATACAAGCATTCCCAACCGACAAAGTGCTTCTCTTCATTAGGATAATGAAAAACCAGAGGTTTGCGGATAATAAGTTCGAAACCCATCTTTTCCGTCTCTATTGTTTCAGCCATGTAATATTCATGCAAATCACGCATATATGTTGTCAAATTTTTATACTCATCCTCGGACACCAAGAAATTGCCTCTTTGATACTGGGTTGTCGGTGTTGCCATCTCATATTCTTTTGTATCATAATAGATGTTCGCGACCTCATCCATGGTTAATTCAGGATTGTCTTCCGCCATCTGCTGTATGTGCCTTTGATCATCATAGTGTATTTCTTTGACTCATTTTTGATTGTGCTTATTTTGTGTTTGCCTATCGAATTCGGACTGCACCCTCCACTTAGGCAGTGAGCAAATAGATTCTAGAATTTAACACCATCTTCCATGCGGTATTGTTCCAGTTGTTTTTGGTCCATGATGTTTGTAACGCAGCCACTCATTAGCCTTTTCATTTTTTGTTGGTCCACTTTGGGATCATTAGCGACCGAATCCAAGCACCTTTTCTGCGACTACGAGGATGCCTATGATCTTATTTTGTGTGGAGGTGGAGGAGGATGAGAATTCTATTTTCTTGGGGCTGATGAAGAGGGAGGAGGAGGTGGAGTCTTCTGTTTTGTCGGGGCTGATGAAGATGGAGGAGGACAGAGAGGAAGAGAAGGAGACTGCTGTCTTCTCAGGGGTGATGGAGAGGGGGGAGGCAGAGCAGAGTGATCTCCTCTATTGGGAGATGGTGAGTGATCATCTCTGTGCATCAAAGATTCATAGTCGTCCTCATCATCCGAAGACAACTAGCGATCAAGCTTAATGAAGCGCTTGCGCCAGGCAACATGCGCCCCCTATTCTGAATAAGGCGTGGCCTGTCTTACTGTGCGGGGTATTCAATGTGTATCTTGTTATACTTCTTATCAAGTATAGTATCAATGCTGACGTGGGCATACGCTAGTGGAATTGGGCGGCCATTAATGGTCCCGTCTTCCGCAGGCCAGGCCTGGCTGACCGCCACCTTATCAGTTGTCCATTGCTGATGGATGTACAACCTGATATTGACGGGTTCAGTGATGCTGTCCATCGGATGAGGTGCATTCATCTCTTCTTCATCGAGCGAGGTCGATCCACAGCTGCTATGACCCCTGAACTATGAGCTAAAGCTAGTCGGA